GGGGGCGGGTCAGACACAGCTCATTTACATATTTAAAGGTACAGACACAGAAACAGCCTGTAAAAGAAGCCAAACAGAGTCCTGACCTGGGTCAAACTGGATGAGAGCGGCTGTGCTGTGGGTGAAATCTCTGCCGGGTTTGGCCGATCCCTCCTCCACCTGTGTGAACAAACATGTTAAAGAAGAACCGAGCAATGATTTCGATTTATAATGACGTTAATCTTCCTTTAAACCAAGAGACAAGGTACCTGGATAGCTATGTACGCCGGGTCGACGCTCTTTCCGCTGCGTTGGATTTGGATCTGAAGCGTCCCGCCGTCTCACAGGTTCGGTAGCAGGTCACCGACAACTCCACCCGAGACCAGGACAGGTCCAGTCTGCAGGAGACACACAGCTGAATCCTTCATATTGTCACAAGTTTTTAAGTATTTCTGAGTGACACAAGCTGAAGGTCGGCGCTGGTTACTTCCTGGTTCGATCACTGAGCTTCAATTCTGAAGAAGCCGAGTTGGTAAGATACTCGTTTGTATTTTTAACACGTAGATTCATCGTATTAAACTGTTTTGTGTCTTTGTGCATGAGCGTGATCTTTCTACAAACCCACATCTCGGGCAGCGCCATGTTTCCTGCCGGGTCAATGAGGCGGAACTCGAAGCTGTCGGCCGTCACCTCCATATCGACGGGGAGGACGAACACGACGGCACGCTGGTCCACGTCCCGCTGCGTGAAACGACCTTTAATGTACGCTCCTGTGAGAACAGAAAGAGTCTTCATGAGGAACATTACTATTCTCTCCCGATACTGGAGTGTTAATCTGTTGCTAGGTAACGGCTCGGCTCACCTGTGACAGCGTTCTCCAGGTATCCGAAGTGAGGCGGTCTGGTGATGGAGAACTCCAGCTCCTCCGCGGGGCTGTCGGGGTCCGAGGCCTGCAGGTGTTTGGAGGTGATGAAGACGCCGTATCGACCGCCGCCCAGGTCCACCACGGTGCTGGGGCTCCTCCTGGTGGTCAGACTGGGAGGCGTCCGGTCCACGCGTTGCACCTGAACGCACCACAAGACTTTTAGCAGCTGGTTACCCAACAGGAGGACAATATTTTTACTCGATTTTTTATCCTTTATTTTATTCTCAGTGAGACACTTTTTATTTCTAAGGGAGAATCGGCCATAAAAGTTTAAATTCAGACATCCTGGTACTCGATACTTTGATGAAATGTGACGGATTATTTTAAGATTTCATTATTTTTAATCTTTGAACCTCGTATGATTTTATAAATTTTTTCAGTTTCATGCAACAATGAGGTAAAATAATATTTGTAACATCCAGAAATGTTGCATAAAACAACAAATGTTAACACACACATACAAAAAAAGAAGGAACTTCCTTATAGTAAGGCAGAGCTGCCCTGGGTGGGTGGTCACAGGTAATGTCTGTGTGCGCTGCTGCTGAGGTCATAAAGAAGCGTCAAGCTTTAGGGATCATGCTTCATGGACGCATTTGAGGCGACATTGCGCGCCAAATTGAGGCCAAATGTAGAGGTAGGAAGGAACTGCAGGATGCTGTGTGTTGATGTTGGACACTCAGTTGGGGTGAAAGCGTCTCTGTGTTGCCGCGTGATTGGTTCATGTGTTTTGTTTATTGAGGTGATTTGTAAATATTGGTTTTGAAGTGGTCACTGTGATTATTAAATATTGTTTCTGTCTGTGTTGTGGTTTTAAAGTTGAGTCAGGCAGAACGGAGTGAAGTGAAAACTGATGCCAATGTTTTTAGATTGGTGTGTGTGTGTGTGTGTGTGTGTGTGTGTGTGTGTGTGTGTGTGTGTGTGTGTGTGTGTGTGTGTGTGTGAACCTTGTCGCCATTAAAGACGTCATGAACTGATTTATGAATCATGAATAAAGTTGCTTTTTGACACATTTATCTTGTGCCGATGAGTTTCTTGCAGGGGGCTGCATTTCCCTTCATTATTAATTTGAGACTCTCAGAGGTGCAGTTCTGTGTGTTCACCACCAGATGTCACTCTTGTCATGTGTTATAATCAGCAGACTCAGAGTGAGACTCACTGAGAAGCTTTAAAAACATCTTTAAGTATCTTTATGTTTAATAAAGGAAAGCTTCCTATAAAAATAAAAACACACATATATGTAGAAATGTTTGTGTGAATATGAGTCATGATGTTTTTAAAAAGACGTCTGCATCTTTCAGCACCTCCGACTTCCACTAATGATTATTAATCTGCTCATTAACTCCATTGATCGGACATGAAAATCGGACACCCAAAAAAAAGATGTAAAGAATACCCCTAGATGAATCAAACTTAAACTTTGCAATTAAAAATAGATTTATACAAGAAATGTAAGAAATGTACATAACCCGTGCAGGGATAGAAATATATGTGAGATTTAAACAAGAACCTAAAAACAGCTGAGGAAAAAAATCTGTAATTAGACCTGAATATAAAAAATAAAAAAGTGTTGACCTTCTGAAGTTGTGATGTTTATATATGTACAGCAATGTTTGAAAAGAAGATTTATATTTATTTTTATTTTATATTATATTTATCAAATATTTATTTGATAAAAAATGGCTGAAACGTTTGAGTGCTCTGACTTTGTTTCCAAGTGTTTATTTGTGGATTCATGTTGGGTCAGCAGTAACAGAGATGTGATCACAAAGTGTCACTAGGGGTTCAAGGGGCTTTGACCTTTGACCCCTCAGTTTGAGCTTCCAAAGAAAAAAAGAAACAATCCACTGAAGTTGGGGGGGGGGGGCATCTGAGCAGAGACTGACTGGGACAAATATGACCCTGCCTCTTAGATCGGTTTCTTAGCGTGCGTGTGTGAGGGTTGGAGCAGTTTGGACAGTTATGACCCTCCACCTCTGAGCGTTGACTGTACCGTCCCCCCACTCTCGCTCATCTCTCGCTCTCACGCTGTGAACCCACTTCACACACACACACACACACACACACACACACACACACACACACACACACACACACACACACACACACACTGCTGGGTAGGAGGCAGAGCTGCACAGTTCACAATAATCATGATCACTACATAAATATGACGCAGGGTCTTAACAACAGACCAGGAATTTGCAGCCCCCTGGTGGGTCATGAAGGTACTGCAGGTGTTGGCTGTGAGAGGTCAGAAAATATAATTATTTTGCTTTTCAAGATTAAAGATTAAAGCAGGCTGAAGCTATATGAGCCACCTGCTGATACCTGCATGATAAATACAGATACAATAAGATGAACCAGAGTCACTGCAGCCTGAGAAACAATCACAATACTCTGAAATATATATATATATATAACACTTTTCTTAATTTTCTCGCTGAGGTACAAGATTTATTTTCCAAGAGAGTCCTGAACCAGAGAGCAGCATCAGAGATTCACACAATAAACAAACTTTACATCAATCAACCAATCAGAAGCCTCCAGCAGAGAAACATGTGAATACAGTGGTCAAATGATCCTTTATCCTGCTTTTTAAATCTTCCAAGCCGATTAAACAGACTCTGCAGCTCAGACCGAGACGATGGTGCTAACACACTCAAAGCGCTTTCACCAAAGTGAGAGAACGTTTTGTTGAGATCTGATCAGGAAGTGTCGTCAAGGGGCGCTGCGCCACAGATGAACATGTTTTAATATCTGAACAGCAAGCGTGCTGCGCTCACCTCAACAGGGTGCAGACGCGCTCTTGCACTGCGCTACACATAGACAGTGAATGGGTTTTAGAGTGGCTCGCAGCGCCCACCACATCCTTTCTGAAAGGACGCTCATCGATGCCTTTGGGGCTGCGCGTGTTTAAGGGCGGATAAAATAAGTAGGGAAAATTGGAATATAGACTAAAGAGTCACTAATTGACACAGGCCCCTGTCGACTCATCCTTAACATACTTATTAAGAAGACTTTTTCTAAATCACAACATCTAATGACCATGAACTCATACAGCTTACAGTCACTTAGTGGACTCTGCAGGTCTCTGGTTCTGGCTCTGATCGGCTGTGTTTTGTGCAGATCGAGGCCCTGAAGGTCTTCAGTCAGGGGGAGCTGGTCTCCTGGTTCATGGAGCACAGAAACGGCAGCAGTAGGAGGCTCAGCGTGCACGTGAGTCTGTTTGTTGAGTTGACGTCATGAAGGTTTGTAAATCTCTCGTAGACTGAGTTTGAACCCTTTTGTCCCCCCCCCCCCCCCCGGTGTGGACTAGGTGGTCGGTTTCGGCGTGGAAGAGAACGACCCGCCTGAGCAGAGTGTCTGCTGCAGCCAGGACAGCCCCGACTCCCCCCCCTCCTCCTCGGCATACGGGGAGGTGAGCGAGCTGAACTTCCTGCCTGCCTCCTCGCCGGCGCTCCAGGACGTCACGCTCATCTCAGACATCAGAGCGTTCACCTCATCCCTCCCCCTCCACCCATACCACAAAATCCTCAGCTAGGTCCGGACGGACGGTGAAGGTGAAGAACGCCTCGTTCACTCTGTCAGTGTGTCGGGGAAAATAAAGTTACCATTGAAACAGCTAGCATCCATGTTTGATGAAAGAGGATGGACACACCTTGAGGAACTTTTAACACGCGTTTAGTTTTATTGTGAGTGTTTGTAAAATGCTGCGTTCATGTCCTGTGGGAAAAACAAAGATCTGGGCCTGTATTTATCACACACGTCGTCATCAGTCCCTTAAAATCCTCTGAAGAGCTGCATGTTCACATAAAAAAAAAATACTATATGTAGCTTAAAGCTCTGCAGTGTGCAAAAGCAAAAAAAAAAAGAGGCTGAACTATAGCGTGCTGTTTATATGCAAAGGTAGGACGCTTACTTTACCTAATAATGACTGTTACTAATAAGCTATTTGCACTAACTAGGCCAGCGGACAATAACAACTCAAAACGCTTTTCTATCATGACAGTAATGCTTTAACACAAACAGTAATAATGATGCAAACAGAAGTTTTAATTGATGTAATATAACACCACGATCAAACACCTTTCCTCTGTCATTAACTCGATCAACTTTATTAATCCCACATGAGGAAAGTTGGGTCGACACAGCTGGTACTTAGAAACACAAACAACAATCAGTTCAACATACTTAAATATGGAATCAGTTCTAACATTAATTCTGAACAGAAGAGCTGAGCGAACATGAATCAGAACCTGTTTTTTACTCCTTGTTCACGTGGTAACGACCAGTTTGTGATTATTATTTCAAGAAGTCGACTTGTCTCGTATCGTCAGAGGCAAAAGCACGAAACGGTTATAGAAAATGTAGCGTAGAACTTGGTGTTTCAAGCCCCGTGTTCACTGAGCTTTTTTTTTTTTTCTGAGCGCCTGCAACTTTTTTCAATTGTTTTCAATGAGGAGAGAGCGTTTCCGTTTCCAATGAGGAGAGAGCGTTTCGTTTCCAGCAGCAGCAGCAGACGGACACCCGGAGAAAAAGCGCAGTGCTGCTCAGTGTTTTTTTTCCGGGCGCTCTGCCTTTTTTTATGCAGTCGCCCCAAGCACTGAAGCTAGGGTGAGCCTAGAGCGTGTTAAGAGTGAGCTTAGAGTGAGCTTAGAGTGAGCTTTAAGCTAGCATAGGGCGAGCTTCAAATGAGTTTAGAGCGATCTTAGATTGAGTTTAGGGCGAGCTTAGAGCAGTTTAGAAGAGAGCTTAGATTGAGTTTAGAGCAAGGCATCACAGGTGTTATCATGTGTAAATTACAAACTGATGTCAGTTTCTTTTTTCAGAGGGAGGTAGGTGCCATAAACCTGAGAACAAGTTCAGAGGTGGATTCAAATGAAAGGGTTAAAAGACCAAAAGGGAATATTCTTTTAAATTAGTTTAGCTTCATAAGGAAAAGCTTTGTGAGTTTCACTTAATTTACTAGAACAGTGTTTTTGAGTTCATGTGAATGTATTAGTTCAGTTCAGCGCACACGTTACTGGGAGTAAAACTTTTTTTATCCCAAAATACATTCATGATTACGATTTTAGTTATAATCAAGCAGCTTTAAAACAATATATATTCTTTGTGTTTCCTGGTTTGTAAATACAGGCCCAGAGCTTATAGAAAAATACTGTTCAGCTTATTTTCTGTTGGAGTATGTTTGATTTTAATTAAAGTCATCGACCAGGTCTGTTCAGACAAACTCCTGAGTTAAGATGAAGGTTGATCTTTTCTGTAATAAACCTGAACAGAATGAAGAGCAGGAAATAACAATCACTGCATCCCTTATTGGTTTAAACGAGTCAGCTCCGTCGCTTTGACTGTGAAAAATGTAGTATGATCATTTCCAGGGAGTAAGTGAATGCAGCACGAAGACTCAGGGCTCTGGTTTAAAATCCAGTCTGATACAAGAGACGACAAAGACGGGCATCTGTATCTTGAAAATGTGACTTCAGCCAGTATCACTGCGAAACCTACCATGTTTTTATTTATGCGTTTACATATTCATGTTCATACTGACTACTGGATGATGTATATGAAGAATTAAATGTACAGATTAAACAGCTTCTGGTGGCCAGTGATTTCAAACTGTGACGTATTTTAACTCAGAATGTACCGCTGTGGTTTATGAGTCCCGGAGAACGCTACCGAAATAATTTAAAATGACTTAAACTTTCATTTTAATGACGATTAAAAAAATACGTAATCAAATGTTTCAGTGAAGAGAAGTTTTGTTTGTTTTTCTGTCCTTCAGTAATTATAGAACAATAATAAAGACTTTTATAAATGCTTCAAATGTAACTTTTATTCAGTGTGTTTCTCTGTTTAAGTGCTGTGATACAAAGTTAAGATCGTATGTCAAACTGGTGTTTAGAAAGCATAGGTTTGGATTAAGGTCAGGTTCGAAGATTTTGAAATGTGTCAGTGTGACGTCTTGTCAGTGTGAGATCACTGATCTAAGCCCATTGGCTCATTGCGGCAAGCCCTGCAGCTCAAGTTGAAATTTCCCAGAAGCGTGCTGAGCAACTGACCAATAACGACAGAGCAGATCGGCAGACCAATCAGAGCAGACTTGGCCCACGTGGGGTCTAACAGTGTGGGCTCAACAGAGTGTAGCTGACGGACTCAGAGCGTAGAGGGAGCAAGGAGGAGCAGTACATAAAAACAGACACTTTTTAAAAACTTTATCTATTGTGAACGTACAAAAGTAGGAACATAGATTAAATATACAAACCCCTAAAAGGGCAGAATATGGGCTCTTTAAGATGTCCTGCCCTTTTGTCCTGATGAAGGTCTAGTACCCAAACGTTGCCCTGTGAGATGCTATACACAAACACCACATTATATTACTATTGTGCTCCTACAGCATCTAAGCAGCAGGTTTGTACTGTGGTATCACTACATCTACCTAAGCAAAGGATTGTTGTACACAGTTCTTTGACTGGCATACTAATTTGTTTGTGGAGCAGCTCCACCCTGCTCTTTTTCAAACAGGCAAGTCCAGGCAGTAGAGAAAGAATGAGCTAAGACTGCACCCAGGATAAAAATAGGACGAAAAAATTCACCTGGGTTTTATTGCCTCTGTCTTATTGAGAACAGTACACCGGGAGCTTTCCTAAAAGACATAGATGTTTCTAACTTGGTTTTATTGTGGGGTGTGAATTTAGAGTTGAACTCTGTCTCTATGGGTGTGACTGTTCTTTACAGCTCTCACGGTGTCAGGGAACGCTCCGGTGAAGACAACATAGAAGGTATCATTTTCACTGCATAGTGCATTATTCATCTCAGTATATTCCCTTGTGAGTTAAAACTTAGTTCATTTTTATTTAGAATATTCTTCCTGTTATTTTCTGGAAGAGACGGCCAGCAGTGCGAGGAGACGTCAAAGAAGTTAAGAGGTAAGAGATTCACCTGATTAAAACATATAAGTGAATAAAGATTGCCAATTCAGATGTTCTTTGTGTTGCAGGAGATATCTTTGGAATAAACCTGTAACTTTGTTTATTTGTCAGACAATCATTCATCATAAAACTGTTATTTGTCGTAGTCTTAGTAGTCCATATTATTTAACTCTAGGACCGCGCCCTAAAGATTTCGATCCCTATTTTGCACTTACACAGTGACAGCAACTGTTTGCCTGATGAAGGTTAAGCACCAAAACGTTGCCAATAAATGTTTGTTTGCAAGTTAGACAGTGAGCGGGAGTTTATCTTTAAGTACAGAAGAACATAATGTAATGAAAAGGGTTTAATCATGAGATCAGCTCTACAGTGTCAGACCCAGTCTAGGCAGGAAAAACAGGATTGCCGACTTGCAGATGAGGAAATAGAAATGATTGAGCCAGAGCTCAAGATTGGATGAACATATTTTCTAAATGACCTGAAACAGCTGGTGTTGACACCTGATGTTTATATTGAGAGGGTTTTTTCAGAATCCGGCAGGTAAGTGCGGACACAGTTGAAATTATTCAGTCTTAATTGACTTAGCTTACGTATAACATCAGTAGATTGTCGTGATTTACCTTTGTTTAGTTTGTTTATTTCTTGTTTTTGTTGCTTAAATGTGAGTCCGTTTTATTTTGTCATTTGTATCCTCGTGTCTCTCTTTTCTGTGTCTTCAGTGTTTCCTGTCTTATGCTATTACTGCCTTTTGTGTCATCTCTTGATTGAAGTGTTGCCCTTGCCCATGAACAGTTTTATATCTGAGACCCGTATGTAGTGTTTCCTGTTTTATATCTGGGTGGTATAGCGAGGAGAGTAGGCCCATTCGCGGGAGCTACAGCGGCTGTGGCTCAGTTGATAGAGTCGGTCACCTCTCAACCAGAAGGTCTGGGGTGCAATCCCCAGCTCCTGCACACCTAACCTCACCACACCTCCTGCTTCTTCAGCCGTGTATGACTGTGTATGAATGTGATTAGTTACTTCTGATGGTCTCTTTACTCAGCGGCCTCTACCATCAGTGTGTGAATGGATGAGTTAATACTGATGGACTCTTTACTCAGCAGCCTCTACCATCAGTGTGTGAATGGATGAGTTAATACTGATGGACTCTTTACTCAGCAGCCTCTACCATCAGTGTGTGAATGGATGAGTTAATACTGATGGACTCTTTACTCAGCGGCCTCTACCATCAGTGTGTGAATGGATGAGTTAATACTGATGGACTCTTTACTCAGCGGCCTCTACCATCAGTGTGTGAATGGATGAGTAAATGATGGACTCTTTACTCAGCGGCCTCTACCATCAGTGTGTGAATGGATGAGTTAATACTGATGGACTCTTTACTCAGCGGCCTCTACCATCAGTGTGTGAATGGATGAGTTAATACTGATGGACTCTTTACTCAGCGGCCTCTACCATCAGTGTGTGAATGTGTGTGAATGGATGAGTTAATACTGATGGACTCTTTACTCAGCGGCCTCTACCATCAGTGTGTGAATGGATGAGTTAATACTGATGGACTCTTTACTCAGCGGCCTCTACCATCAGTGTGTGAATGGATGAGTTAATACTGATGGACTCTTTACTCAGCGGCCTCTACCATCAGTGTGTGAATGGATGAGTTAATACTGATGGACTCTTTACTCAGCAGCC